AGGAATGCGAGCTAACCAACGTCAACTAAATAGAATCGCTCACAATTCAGGAGCGACTAAGAGGGATCAGTGTAGGACAACCACCTCAGGACTCCAGGGGATTGCAGAACAACAGTTGACTTGTGTTGGAGAGGAATTTACAGGACGAGGGAATTAGCAGGCTGATATTTAACCCCACACTGATGAGGGCACCCCCCTTCATCCAATGAGGTCAAAGCAGAGCATTTACACCAATCAGAGAACTCCAGACCATTAACCTCCGAGATTAAACTTGTTGCCCAGCAGGTTCCATGGAAACCAGCCGGAATGTTCCAAACACACGGAACACTTGGGATTCCGGAACAACGGACTCCAGCATTCAGAAAGGTCACACGACCGGTGACCCTAAGGAGGGCTGTGTGGGAGCTGAGAGCTGTCCCAGGACGTTTAATCACGCTCGATCGGTCCTCTGCCATCCATAACAGTCCAAGAGATTAACCAAGTCAGGCTCATTGGCTGAGTCTCCTCACATTACAAAGCACGGTGCTTAAATAGCGCACCCACCCCCCAGCCCCGTGCGATGTCATGACACAGCTGTGACATCCTGGATTGGTTTCAGCACCCAATTCGTTATCTGCCAGAATATGATCCTACTTTCATCGCCCAAAAGAGCAGCAGGTTATAAACACAAACATAAATGTGTAATGCGGCCCTAAAAAGAGAGATCGATGCACGGAGGCCCCTATATTTCACTGTCCAGATAATCATCTCAGCTGTCTGTGGGATGGACTGATGTCAGACTTACTGGAGGAGATGAAGACACAGGCAGTCAGTCACGTTTACACTCAATGTCCAGGCTGGAAGGCGAAGCGTCTCACCTCTGTTGGGGGAACCAGTCTCTAACGTCGCCCCCAAAACTCAACATGGCCCACGTTTAACAAGCTGCTCTTGAAAAGGACCGTGAAGTCTGTGCGTAGTTCCCTGCAGACAAGCAGACCGTGTGGATGAAGATAGAGACTCGGTCAGGACCACAGCATAAGTCTGGCGGCTTGTACAGCAAAGTCAAGCTTACTTTGGTTGGGTGGTTTGGCTTTTGGCGTTGAAAACAAGCACCATGCCCATGCTGAAAGGCCCCAACCTTCCAGAATGTCTGTCACCCCCCCCACCCCCCACAAAGGGACACAACCAGACACGGATACTGTGGATTAGCGTCCGGGGGTCGAGCGGACCGGCGGGCCGGGGGTCAAGCGGACTCACTGTTTTCAGCAAGCTCCACTCCTAATCAGACTTAGAGGCTTCCTGCATTCCAGCATG